AATATGTTTTACCATGAATTCATATATTTAAATACTTATAAAGTGCATGATGTTACCATGCATGTATCTGGCTTGTGCCTTTTTGGTCACACAAAGATGAATCTACACAACTAGAACCAATATGATGATGAAATGTGTGTCACTTTTCTATAATACATGGGATATAACTTTTTTCTGTGAAAGTAAATAAATATGTATGTATAAACAGTCTGAAACAATTAAAAAAAGTTCCTCATAATGTATGTGAAAGGTAAGATAATTAAAAGTTTATAACCAGTCTGAAGCAATCAATATTTATTTCGTACATGTTTGTGATAATTAACACAAGTTTATGACCAGCCTGAAACAATAATTAAAAATTGATAACCTTACTTGTGATAGTATAATAAAAGTTTTATAGCCAGTCTGAAACAAGTGATAAGTTTTCCTAACATGTCTGTGATAATAAATATAATTGTTATATGTATAATCATGCAGTTTTAAGCAATGCTATTTTTCTGTTACATGTCTGTGAAAGTTAACACAAATTTATAACCAGTCTGAAGCAATTGTGAAAATTGATGTAATATGTCTGCGATAATATAAACATTTAATCCACATAAATTTATTGTTAAAAAATGTTTCCATAAGTAATTTTACAAGCATTGTTTTAAGTGTTTGAATTCAGGAACCCGCTATCAAAGGCATCTGATCGTTTTTGTAGGTGTAGTAATTCAATTTAATAAAATTACTGAAAATAAAAGAAAATCAGGGAAGACAATATAGATCTAAACATGTTAATGACTAAACAGTAAGTTATACATTCAGGAAAATTTTCCTTTCGTTGTGAAATACATATTAATAACCCTTTCTCCACCACTTACCCCTATATAACTCCTATTTGTTTTTAAAATAATGTAAATCCCGCTACAACTAGTCGTATATTTGTTGACACTGAACTGCTACTTTCACTTTCACATACTTCATTTCCGGTTAAAAATACGCAACTCTGCGGCTTTCGATTAGGTGCTATACCATTCACAGCTGCCGTTTGCCGAACTCTATTTATATACCTAGCCATCCAATGAAATGCCTTCTTTCATTAGCCAATCAAAACTACTCTTACTTCCTAATTACAAAGAAATAACTAAAGCAAGTCTATACTAACGATCATTTATTGAACAATGTAATTAACAAAGAATCAACCGCTTCATTATTATAGTCTACGATGTAACCCACTATATTTTAAGGTACGATAGATTGGATGCCGTGAAAAGTAACCTGTAAAGTCAGCTGGGGATCGACGATTGCATTAAACACGATGATTCTGGACGACATGACACAGGTATTGGCTGTGCAGTGTTACAGTTGCCAATACAGTACAAAACACTCTTTGCTTAGTGTGCATTCACTTATGTTAGGGTCATTAGAAGTAGGGTCAGTAAGGCAATGGCCTCTGTCGACGAAGGTTAATAAGAGTATATCTTTCCGTCTTGATTTGTGATATTTCTGACGTGATGTAAATTGTTTCTGTTTTGTATTCTGAGGGTTTTACGTTCCCACAGCCGCTAAAGTTATATGGAGACGGGTGTTTAGGGAGAAACCGTCGTAAACTTGTAGGAAATAAAGGATATAAACACAAAGTGTAGCAAAGTGAGCAGCAGATTAATTTTGATTTGAGTAAAGTTTCCTAATAAGAAGTCGGAGCAGAACCTCCTATCCCCCCCCCCCCCCACACACACTCACTATCCCCCTGTCCCCCACAAAAAGAATAACATTATCGACAATGCAAGTTTATATACAAGGGGTTTCTCACGCTTTTAAATTTACTGATACAGTTTTTGGCTGTCACAATCAATCAAATTGCCTATTTTTGAGACAATGAAGAGGCAGACATATCTATGATAATAGAGAACGGTTTAGGAAGCGTGATGTTGACTACGTGGCCTTGATTTTGTTTACAAAGTTCACACCGATAAAGAATCATGTTTTGCGTGTCCCATATTATGCTCCCTTCTCCGTGTGTTATTAACCTGCCATCATTTCTTTATTTCTGCACAACAAGCAAGAGCATACAACTGTTTGATTGAAAAGGTATGTCACTTACTTTTTGTTGGTTACGTTGATTTACCTATGGCTAAACAACGTAGCTGTTTGCTTTACGTATACCGGTTTATTAATTTGATAAATATTCATGCATTATTACACATCAATTGTAAGTTTTGGATGCGGCCAAAAGAAAGCTGCTTGATAAAAACTACATTGTTACTACCTTGTACGGATGAACGCCGCTGTAATCTGCCAGCTAACATAAATCTGTGAACGTTTTCTTGATAGCAGCTGAGATCATATTGTATTCTTAGTAAATAAGCAGTGCTTACTAAGTGCCCCTTTATACATTTCAGTCAAGGCATTTAAAATGGCCGATCAACTCCATTCAATAACAACTAACTGGTGCACATAAGTTCAGACGCTTATCCCTTTGATCCTTTTGTTAGAAGAATAGCATGCCACAAAGAGAGATGTCACATTAAACTTAAGTGGGGTCATTTTACGACACATATGAATTACACTAGGCATTGTATTTACATTGCCTGATTTCTGTAGACCAGGTTCTTCTCTAACTACTCCACCCTTCATTGGTTGTAAAACGTAATCACTGAAACAAAGGGATATAGTTAACTGGGGTTTACAGGTCCTTTAAAAACACAGATATCAGTCAAATAGGGAGGAATTGGAGCAGTATGTATTTATCACACTGGATTGGAGGGGTTAATGCGTGGAGTTTATTAATTTACCGAGCTAGTAAACAGTCTGGGGCCATTGGAGTGAATCTGTACACGTCTGGGCCAGGGGTTAATCGTGTGTGAACAGCCGCGCTACTTTACCGGATGAAAAGTTTAAACTTTGTAAAAGAAATACATTAAAGTGAAGTCATCTGTACGATGATATTGTGGCAATGAGGTCATAACTGTTACAATACACGAGAAAGTTTAGCTGATGGTAGACACAGATAGGGGCGAACTTCTGGCCGACGATATGCAAGGTGTCATAAAGGTGACGTAAAGGTCGGTACAGATTGGCGGGCCCATTTCTGTGTTTGTACACGGCTGAGGTGAAACACGAGTATTTTTCTAAACCTTTGTCGTGACTGTCTATTCGGCGCACATAGTCAGGTAAAATACCGTCAAAATAGATGAGTGCTAACTTATGAAAAAAAGCTTTTATTCTCCCCGCTGCACGCTCGAGAGGTTTGCAATCCGATCCGTCTGTTGACCCGCGGGAACACCATAATGTGCTCCTAAAATTATGTCAGCTCCGAGGTCGTTGTGTAATCAGCCTGCCGCTACGTGGTGCACATAAGGTCAGGCGAGGTCACCTCTCGCATTCACAAAAGGGCGGTTTAATATTTAGTTTGACTCTGATCCTACTTTTATGTTAAAAATGTGATAAGAAATTGAATGATTACGTAATGTAGAGTAGACCCTATACCACACGGAGTTATATATCCCCGGACCTATCGTACGATCTTTGCTGCACACATATGCACATATCTATGCAGATAAAAACTTCTCGGGGCCATTCCACGGGGTAGTCTATATACACCGCTCAAGTGCCCATCAAAGTATCTTCTCAACTCCCGGGTTATAAGCACTTCTATCTAAACAGAAGGTTTTTTTTATAAACAAAAAGATGCAGTCTTGGTATCCAGGTCACTTAAATCAAAACAACGTCCAGAATCAAATAAGACAAGGCTTGAAATCGTGTAGAACATACTTGTGTCTGTCTGATAAGCTTACATTTCGGATCGATTTTTAAGTCCCCCGGGTTCACTGTAACCCTGGAAGACCCAATTCTGTTTTCTATAAGTGGTATGCTTATTGTATACACACTTTAGATTATGTTTAAGTATTTAGCCGTCCCTGAGGGTCATGATATAAGTAAAGATCGAAGAAAGCGGTTGACGTAGAACAGCTCTAGTGTCCTAGATGTCAAGTTCAGGAGGGTATATACGATCGATTTTGTCAAAATAATTATTGTTTATTTGATACCACGTCGTCATTATATCTGAATGTATAAATATGATTGTGAAATTGAATGACAAGGCTAAGTTTGTTTTACCAGTCCTGATAAGCTCATCAATAAATCCAGCCTCATATGAAAACAAAAAACAAATCAGCCAGTATAGGGGCACTATATGTTTCCATAGGAATATCTACATCCTGCTGGAAAAAACGTAGCACCAAATAGTGATCATGTCAACCAGAAACTCAATTGTTCTCCAAAAGGCAGTTCTCAGTGGCGTTGTAGTCCTATCAATACAATTGATGACGCTTTGTTTTTGTATTTGAAAAGCGTATTTAAACATATACAAAAAGAATAACATTATCGACAATGCAAGTTTATATTACAGAAAATGGAGAAACTTGTTGTCACGACCATCGTTGTTGGTGTAATTGCGTATGTCTATCACCAGTCTGCGCTAAACACAGACAGGGGAAATACTGGATTTCCGTCAAAACTCAAAACGTCATATGATTACATCATAGGTAAGATTGAAAGCAACTGAAAATTAGTTTGAGATCCTATCTCACTGTCGATCTTGTCAACATGAATATTGAATACCGAGTGAAGACCCGTATCGTTTTTTTTGTGGAAAATTTGCAACGCTTAAACAGAGAATTTAGAATAACACTAAATATTTCAATTCCCTAAACCTAGGTAGCAGTGTACAGTAGCGTACGGTGGCCATGGGTGATATTTTTGTACAATGAATAACCCCTGTAATATTACATGTATCAAAATTTAAAAACAAAATCAGCACTAAAATTGGCATATACATGATGAAGTGGACTATATAGGCTTCACATTTAAAATAAAAATCGAATTTGGTTTGAGACTACATTTTTGGCCATTTACAAATCTGTGTCTATACAACAAAAGCTAGTTTTTCATGTAGTCTGTTTTTGTACTCAGCACATGTGTAAATATTGTGAAAAATCCAGTTGAACGACCTATGCTAAAACGTGAGTATTTCTGTTACCTTCTGTTTCTGTTTGCCTTTTTTGGCGTTTTTTGATATGGTAACCATGATTTTTACAAGTCTTAATTCTGGGGAAATCACTATTTGTAAAAAAATCATTCTTCTAAAAAAAAATTGTATGCAAAATGTAGTTTATAAATATATATATATATGTAGGTGTGTTGTGCAGTATAAATCCGCTTTCCATGTTTTTCTGAGACATGCCCTTTAATTTTAGGATCAAACCATTTCTACTGTACTCTGCTACCCTAGCATTTCCAAAATCCATTACAAAAATTACAACCAAACGCCATATACGCCCCAAAAAGAATGAAAACCAACATTACAGAAAAATAAACCGATACTGATATCCCATATCATTTATACCCAAACATACTAAAACATCCCCCTTACTTATACTCAACTTAATGAAACCTAACATCACTTTGTCGTCTACATCAGTCTTTAATTTTCAGTTGGAGCAGGCTCTTCGGGTTCGGTGTTAGCGTCTCGTCTGACGGAGGACCCGGATAATGACGTAGTGTTACTGGAGGCTGGTGGTTCTGACGAGACCAATCCTAACATCTATAAGGCCGGGGCCGCCCCAATGTTGCTGAGGTCGGACGAGGACTGGGAGTATTACACAGTACCACAGAAACACGCTTGTCGTGCAATGAAAGAACAGGTTCGGGATCCATATACATTTGTTTTAATTTCTTTTTTAATAATGAAGAGTCCAAAAGGGTTTTCGATACTTAATGACTTAATGAGTTAATTTTGTTTTATAGAATTACAATATCACATGCATAACGTGCATTTATTCCTTTTTTAATTTTGCTATTTAAACACATTAATACCACAAACCCTTAAGTGGCTGTGTTTTTAGAGTAGAGTGGTGGACTTCTAAGTAATGTTAAAGAATGAAAAAATATTATTCTATCAACACTATCGATCGGTAATAATCCACCGTTATTGAGACATGTTTCGAATTTCGACCAGTTTGTAATGTCACCAATAAATCCCTTTGCATTCAACATTCCATTCGCCATTTCTATCTCAGAAGCAATTTGATATCATTTGTTTTGATATGATCATTTACGATGCAGTACATTTCATTTCTGGCTGGCGATCTATTTCCAAATGCTTAAGGTGCAATCACTTGTGACTATGTGTTTACGTTCATTTTTATAAAAGATAACAGTAGCATAATAGCTTCCATTCACTCACAGCGTAGCTTTTGGCCACGAGGAAGAGTTCTTGGAGGAAGCAGCTCTCTGAACTGGATGGTGTATATAAGAGGCAACCGCCATGATTACGATAGCTGGGCTGAGGAAGGCTGTGACGGTTGGAGCTACAAGGACGTTCTTCCATACTTTATGAAGTCAGAAGACATACAAATTGACGAGTTCAAAATTTCAGGTAGTATATACTGATAATGGTTCTTTGTCAGTTGTATTAATGTATTTATGACGCTATATACATACAAGATTGTATCTATGTTGATTAAAGGCTAACAATGTGATTTAACCACTATTTCCTCATAGCATTTAGAGAAATAGAAGACTGTTTTGTTGTATTTATACTATTACATTGAGCAATAACGACCGTAAGTCATTCGTGGGAATTCAAGGTGGCGACTTGAATGGACTGACCGTACGATCCGAGACCTAGAATTTTTGGTTCATACATGTAATGGCCAATGAGACGGTGGTTAACTGCAAATTTTGAACTTTATACGAGTAAACCTTTAAGAAAAGTTCTATTTACACAACCAATAATATTTTCTATGTGATGTTTCGACAATAGTTGTCATATATGTACCGAAAGGGCTCGATTCAGCAGCGCTTTTTTAATACATGGTCATAGATGTGCGAGAGTCTTTTAGCCCCCTCGTTTCAATTTAGAACTGGTCCACTGCGGCGTATTCAGATGGCATCCTTTATCTGTCGCTTGAACAGACTGCTCTCTCTGTCCAAAACTTTGGAGTTATCCCAATCATTCACATGATTTTTCTGTGTGGCATGTTCTGTGATTGCCGATTTATTTATCTGGGACTCAGACTGCTTTCTTTATGATTTGGTGAATTTCCTTCCTTCTTGGGTTTCTGTATCTTTCCGGTGTTCATTAAGGCGGACCCCAAATCGCCTTTCAGTCTCTGAATATACGACTCGTCGCAGGTTTTCATTCCGATTTTGTATACGCATTTATAATTCATACTTACCAACCTGAAGAAAATATTTAGAAATGTCATTTCATGCTGTTATCGCCGTATTTATGTGATATTACATCTATATTGTACTGACTCGTTAACATTCCATTTTCCGGCACTGACCGCCATTTTAGCACGGACTTCAGGAGAGTCGTTCAAGGACTTGTGTATTTATATCTTCAAACTTTCCATTTCAAATATTATGAGTGTGTCAACGTTTGAATCTAGAATCTCCAGTAAAAATAAGAGGAAATTTTCTGCTTCACCTGGTGCCCCAGACCACCCTCATCTTATCGTTTAGAGAATTAGAAGAATTCTTTGTTATATTTAAACTATTACATTGAGCAATAACGACAATGAGTCATTCGTGAAATGTTTGCTTCTAATCGGTTCCAATCATTGCCTGATCGCAGCGACTTGGAGCTCTGATTCTGTGCCGGTATGTTGACACTGTTGTATATATTTGCATTTTAACAGAATATCGGGGAAAGGACGGTCCTCTTCCAGTAACTCGACCAAATGTTACACCAATGCAAAAACTATATATTGATGCTGGCAAAGATTTGGGTTTCAACGTCATCGATTGTAACGGCGAAGACCAAATCGGTGTGTCTGATTATTTGAATTCTTTGATGTATTATCTTTCACTAATATTTTCGCAGGAAATGAGGACAATGTGTATTGACTATCATATATGTAATAAAAAACGTAACAAGTGCCGAAATATTTATAGACATTGCAGGGAACTGAGCTTTAATTAGGGTGCGAGAAATGAGAACAATGTTATTACGGATACTATTAAGGGCACTGTATGGTACATGTAATCTCTTAATTATTTTAACTATGAGCGTAATCATCGTTTTATTTAAGTTACCATGAAATGTCGTAAACACCTCGGCTGAAAAAATACTGTCTACATTCCAGGCTTTTGTTGGATGCAGTCCACTATAAAACAAGGGGAGAGATGGAGTTCTTACAGATCATTTATCAAACCACATTTGGCCCGTCCCAATTTACATGTAATGCCCAACACTTTCACCACGAAGGTAAGCAGTCTCTGATACAACATAGTATATACATTGTACATATGTAAATTATCGAGGTTTGATCTGAATCACCAGAATGATTGCCCTTTGATTTGTTAGCTGGAATATAATTTCAATTTATCCGAAAATAACCGTCGATCGTTCATAGTGTAAGACCAATAATATGTAACCGATGACATCATGATGAAGTTTGTCTATCTACCGCCAACGAGAAACTGCCCTGTAGGCATGGACTCTCAAAGTGATAAGTGACGGGCGTAATACCTAGTAGTTTCTCACATCTCATTATTATTAAGTCTAATTCTGAATGGAAAACCTATACAACAAAACATATCGCGATACACAGAATGTTCCATACAAAAACCAATAACTAATTCTCTCTAAGAGTTAAAAAGGCCAAACAAACTAAACGTAAGTTTTGAAGAAGGGTAGATGTAGTTCGGGATAAACGGATCCCTCGAATTGTTACGGTATGTTATCATGACTTTCGCTTGTAATTTTGTAAATTAATTACTCAGGAAAGAAAAATACAATAAAAATACCGCCAGTTCTATAGTTCAGTATCTATAATAACTTTAGTATATGCTTTTTTTTTAACTCATTAGTCCATTTAGATTTAATCAGTTGGGATACATTAGTGACATTCATTCATTTAGATAAAACGTTTTTTTAATTAACAATCTGGACATGTGTTTAAGGTGATTATCAAAGACAAGAAGGCTATTGGCGTAGAATGCATCAGGAATGGAAGGAAGGTCCGAGTGTTTGCGAGGAAGGAAGTGATTTTATCTGCTGGCGCCGTCAACTCTCCACAACTACTGATGTTGTCGGGTGTTGGACCAAAGGAACACCTTAAAAAATTAGGGGTATAAACTATTGTATACAATATATTCTTATCCATAAAACTTATTTTACATGGATTTGACCTAGATTTATATAGCGACTGTTAGCGATGAATCAGAAGAATACCTGATCTGCTTTTTCTTTTCTTTTATTTTCAACAGTCTCCATGACAATCTATATTTTCTCATTTGTTTTTACTATTTCGAGTTTAAATTACGGTTTTGTTTAAATCATATTGTTTACTTTGTTTCGCTCTCTGATTCTCAGTACTTGACTGTCAAGTAGTTGCTTCCTTTTGGTATTTCTATTGCAATGTGGTTGACACTGCAGGAAGACTAGCTAACACCCCGAGGATTGCGGTAACCCGTTAGTACCACCGAAAAATTCTAAACGGACGACATGGCACCTTATTTAGACAAATGACCGGTGACTTGTGTGTAGACAAAGGTTTAGTTTGTTCGTGTTTTACGTCCTAATACTAGCTATGGTCATATAAGGACGTGCCAGGGGGAAAACCACCGACCTGTGGCCAGTACCTGGCGACTGCCCCACGTAGGTATCGAACCCGCGGCCCAGTGGTGGAGGGCTAGTAGTAGCAGAATATCAGACTATTTAACCACTTGGCCAACGCGGCCCCTGTAGACAAAGGAGTAAAATGAGTACGAGTTGGCAATACAATATTGCCGTCTATTACTTAGTCCATCTACAGGATGACGATCAAACCGACAAATTGATTCGATAAATTTTTACATACACTCCACCAGTCATTCCTCTGTTGAAAGTGACACTCTAGACTGTTTTAGTCATCGAAATGTCACACATAAACAGTCCCTTTGTTGTTTCATATGAACCTATGTACTGTGCAATGATTTATCAATCTATCAGTGGTCTGGGAGACATCAAAACTGATATAGGTCATAATATGAAATCATGCAGATGAAGCGATGGTAAAATATATGTTTTTCCCCTCTGCGTGGAGACGTGACATCGGAAGAATATGGATGCTTGATATGTTTTTCTATTGAAAACTAATTCGAATGACATTTTGAAAAAACGTTTGAATTGCTAATAATCGGATTAGGGAATATTTCCCGGACTATATGTTATAATTGCAATCCGGTTTTATGGCTTAAGACTACTTAATATCTGTAATATTTGTGTCAAACATTTTATTGCTAGATTCCCGTGCTTGCTGACCTTCCCGTCGGGGAAAATCTACAAGACCATTTCATGATACCTTTGGCGTTCAGGATAAATACAACAGGGCCAATAACTGGTGATAAACTGACTTCAATGTGGACAGTGAAACAGTACGAGTACTTTCGTACAGGTAAGTTCTGATAATATAATATAATAAAGTGTCTACACTATACATTCACATGCATGGTGTTTGTCTTTATGAGGAAGTAGGGAAACAGAGTTCAAAGGACGTCCGCAGGTTAATTTTAACATCCTGCTTCAATTAGGGATTTTGGAGTTTGTTTATTACAAAATGTTAAATCATTCCTTGAAGCGGTCGCTACCTTACTGGTCGATACTTTTCTGGTCGATACCTTTCCAAAACGCCGATTTCTAGACGTCAAATTTCTAGATTCTGGAAGCCATAGAAAGGAAATTTGTCCCCAACAGTGCGTGAAAACAGAATGGGATAGCTTCACATATATGTGCTGTTGTTTACAAAGCTGAATAACTTAGTTTTCCAAATTTCTATATATAATTTTACTTTTAGACTGGTGATGATTTTTTTTGTATACTGAAAGTATTTCAAAAACATAAAGTTGTTTATCAGTATAAAGCTTTAAAACTTTAATAGAACGTTTAGTTTATATTTCAATTTTTATTGTATTATTACCATGTAACATGACCATTTCGAAGGTCTCTGGTCCGCTACAGCTCTGGAGGCACTAGCATTTGTGTACAGAGATCTTGATAAGAAGAAAGAGTCCGGAGAAAATTCTGATATACAGGTGCATACATTCAGTGCGCATGGTTTAACCCCACCAATGAGAGAGTTCTTCCCCGTCAACTATATGGAAGAAGTAAGTCATCAAATTCTTTCTAATATTAACTTCTATTACGATCGAGATGAAGTATATTCATAACACTAATTGAGCACTTCCGGAAAATAAGGTAAACAAATATGGGAAATGACAAAATAAAACTATTTGTTTGTGCTTTTTTAAGATTAATGCAAGTACAACAACCTTTTCTCGTAATTTTTGTTTTGTCCAATATTGTAAAATAAAAAAATAAGTCCCCGGTTTTTTTTACATATTTTTTTTTACCCTTTTTGACATGAACACGTTTGCACACCCGGAATTTCCCTCTTGGTTACATTATAAAACATCATTCGATATATGACATTACTCCATGAAAACGGATGATAAATATATTTGAATGTGTATCAGAGGTGTACTTCTGTGTGTCAAAAAGGTATATCTGGAGTTTCTTCTATATTTCAATAAGTCACCAAATATCACTATTGCATATTAATTGCAAGGTTTTATAGATCTCTATACTTAAAGACTACTTAACCCGAAACAGCATGAAAAAAAGGAAACAGCTCGTAGGAGTTACATTTCATTATCCATGTTCCAGGATAAAGGAACACAACTCCACTTTACTATAGGAATAGTTCCATCTCAGCACATCGATGCTTATATAGATCCGTATACAATTATAATGCTTTTATCATCGCTCCCATTTGTAAATGATAAATGTACAGTTTCATTTTTTCGATTATCTTTTCTAATGGGCAAAATGTCTAAAAAGGATCTAAATATTGCAACTGTTTTGTGTGTCTATTTTGTGGCAGTTAACAGTATTTGTATCATTTACAGACAGTAGAATCCAAACAACATTTGCCACTAAGGGAGAGGCCTAATATAAGTTTGTTTTTGTAGACAGTAAAATCTATACAACATTTGCCATTAAGTGTGAGGACTAATATAAATGTTTTTAGTCTTTTGTCAAAATTTGTTTTGACACTGTAGTATTTCATTGTCAATAAAATTCGCTGAAATTAAATGAAAAGAAGGATGTACTTCAAATACCAATATATGTGAACGTCAAAATAGTCCATCTTGGTACTATTCTTGTACTCATTTCCATCCATTTGTCCCGATTATGGCATCGTTGTCCTCTTTGCAGGCGATGAGCGAGCTATCAATTACATATCCTTTAAATTCAAAACAAGTATTGCAACGTATACCCCGTATTCGGAAATGTTATTTTTGCTCTATTGATGCCTGTCTTTCGATTGCAGGTGAAAGATAAAATGTTTACTGAGACAGATGACATCGAAACGGTTTCATTTTATCCAGTGATTATCCACCCTAAGAGTAGGGGAACTATTCGACTGAGGAGCACGGATCCGTTCGACTATCCTGATATTGACCCTCACTACCTTGAGGACGAAGACGACGTACAGTTGGCAATCCAATGTATGTTGTGCATATATTCACTTATCTTAATGTCTCGTCTTTGTTCGTTCATTCACACGACAAATCACTAAGTATAACAGGTCATAGATGTAAACGTATGGGGTTTTGTTTAACCACGCTCTAAATATATGTAAAGCAGTTACATACTATATATATATCAAATGAGTTAAGTCCATTTGATTCGTTGTTCACAGCTATAAGATTTGTGGAAAAGATGGTTGGCACAAACACAATGAAATCGATCGGAATGGACGTCAATAATCGGTTCCAAACATATGAATTTTGTTCTGAGCACGAGTTCCGGTCGGACAAGTTCTGGGAATGTTATGTGAGACATTTTACATTGACCGTGTACCATCCAACATCTACGTGTAGAATGGGAGGCAAAGACGACCCGTCAGCTGTAGTGGACCCCCAGCTGAGGTATGAAAATATTAGTAAGAAGTTATGCATTATTTGAGAAATAAATATTTCGATTTTTTCGTAATTCATTGCAAAAATAATTTTTGAATAATAGTTCAACTTGCCATCTTGTTTAAATCTGAAGACGAATTCAGTCTTTAATAAACGTTATACTCTTACAGTCAACATGTCAATGTAACGGTAATGCCGTAAAAAACGTTAAACTCTTCCAGTTAAAATTTCAATGTAACGGTAATGCAGTAATGAACGAGATATCGTAATAAAAAGCCGTTGGTGTACGATTCATATTTATCCCGAGCTCATATAACAATGGTTAATTCTTTGTTGTATATTAGAAATCATTATAATTGAATATTGTACGATAACTTCACAATGCAAAAAAGGATAGTTTTCAAAACTCATTGCTTAGAATATAGTCTTTTAATTGAATAGCTAATGATTTTGTTTTCATCTTTAAGAGTTAAAGGGATATCCGGCCTACGTGTTGTCGACGCTTCTGTGATGAGAAATGTGCCCGGAGGAAATACAAACGCTCCGTCGATCATGATCGGAGAGAAAGCCGCTGATCTGATTCGGAAAAGCTGAATATATACTATACAATGTGGGGAATCACGTGACCTGAAATGATTCAGTCTGTGGAAAAGGTCTGGTTCAGTATTTAGAATTCCATGGATTTAACAAAAAAAATTGGGTACAACTTTTAGATAGCCGAAATAAACTTGAAATTATTGGAAATCATACGTGCTTTCATCTCACTTAAGGTTAAGTTTTATTCATTAATGCTGAAATTCTCTTTCAATATGAGGTTTGTTGAATATGAAGTATAACACCACGTGAAGGACAGTATATGTAAAGTAACACTTAATATGTAAGCTCCGTGTAACAGTAAACCTCCGGCTGTGTATTGTGATATCAGATGTAGCATGCACGTACTATCTTATATCTACATGCTGTAAAAGAATTAATTAACCTGTTTAGTGTTGAGATGAACATAGCACATGGGTTAAGTGTCCTTCAAGCTTTTTAGCAAATATGTGACGTAATGCCTTTTTAATGGTTTTAAAGTATTATGCGACGGTCAAGATTCCGTTTTATTAAAAGATAAATGTTTCAATATCTTCGTTTTATAGTTAGTAAAATTTGAGGGATGTCAGTAAAGAGCAAACTTAACTGTTTTAATGAAAAGAATATGGATACTGGGTAGTTTGTATAACTATGTTTACATGTGAGTGAACAAAAGGTTATTTAAACCTTATTATTACGGGTGCCAAATATATACATGTACAGTTGTGTGACCGCACAACGCACCAACAATAGCGTCCGCACAACTGTGCGATTAACAATCGTTCACCCCCGTGGTGCGCTTCTCTCCGCACAACTGTGCGATTTGATACAATTTGTTGATAAATATTACGGAATGAAAAACATACGGACGGCTCCTTTGCAATAATGTATACTGTAATTTTCATAACAACAATTAAGATAATGCACAGTTTCACAATGCGTGTTAAGCATTATACAGTGACCGTTACACTTGTCAAAAATGGCTTTGGCTCCAAGGTAACAGAACAGGTAAGTACTATTTTGATGAGTGACCGGAGTTTTACCTGGCCTGCGCCTGAAACAAAGAGCCGATACATAATACCGTATGACCGATATGAAAACACAACTGGGCGTTTAGTTTTATTTGTTAGTTGCAATTGGTATGGTCTATAGCTCCCCCTCACTTGGATTTTTACACCTCGACGAATTACGTAAGTGCGCCGGGGGAGGAAAACCGCGGTCAAGGTTCTCATACAAAGTGGCTTTGTTTACCTAAATATGGGACCATGTCCATATTGTTGTAATTGTACATGTGTCAATTCAGGTAACTTAATAAAAAAGAAAAAAAGTTAAACATCATTTCTAAATTAGAGAAAGTATAACTAGGAAGATGAGCTTAAATATGTAGCTAGAATATGAAAATATACTTAAAAAATCAAGTTTATGTGTTTAATCACGAATCCGTAAATATTTTTAAGCCATTTCTGAATTTACACCAACCAGGGTGTCGCACAACGTTCGTCCATCGTCGGCACAAATGTGCGCAAGCAATTACTGCCGGGGTACCCAAAGGCTCTATCCTTGGACCTCTGCTCTTCTTGGTGTACATTTATGATATTGTGTATGCTTTAAAGTCCAAAATAAAACTGTTTGCCGACGATACTTCACTGTATATGGTATTAGACAATCCAATTACGACACATGAAATTCTAGAATCGGACATGGAAAAAATAAATGCATTGTCACGCAAGTGGCTTGTAGATTTTAACCCAAATAAATCCGAAACTATCCTCATAAGTACGAAAAGAAATCCTCCTAATCACCCTCTCTTACATATGAACTAAGTTCCTATCAATAACGTATCTTTCCACCAGCACCTCGGAGTCTTTTTCTCCTCAAATGGTAGTTGATCAGATCATGTCAATTACATCATCTCTAAAACGTCATCTAAACTTAACCTCATGCGAACTTAAGAATTCCAGTTTGATAGAAATACTTTACAATCAATATATTTTTCATTTATAAGACCCCTACATGAGTATGGATATATAGTGTGGGGGAACATACCGAATGAGTTGGGAAAGAAACTTGAAAACCTCAATATTTAAGCCGCTCGAATTGTAACAGGTGCAACTAAATTAGTAAGCATTGACAAACTTTTCAATAAATCAGCTTGGGTCAGTTAATTCGATCGGAGGCAAAATCATAAAATTATCCAGTTCCATAAAATGTTCTATCAATATACACCTGAATATATATATAGCCTTATCCCAAGTACTGTATCGGAAGGGCATCGATATGATACCAGAAACTCCGACCATACCTTTATTACTCCAATATTGAGCAAAACTGCCTTTTTTAAGCAGTCACTTTTATCTTCTGTTATAGACCAATGGAATAGTCTTCCACAAAATGTACGATCAAATCCGTCTACAATCTTATCTTGACAAGCAACATACTAAGAAAACGCCTATCTATTACAACGTTGGAACCCGCAAGGGCCAAATATATCACGCACGACTACGAATGGAGTGTAGCTCCTTAAATGGTTATTTATTTGCTAAAAATATTGCTCCATCTCCATTAGGCATGTGTGGTGAAGTCGAAGACAATACACATTTTTTATTGGAATGTAACAGGTACGATCAAATAAGAAGACGCTACCTACAATGTTTGCCCCATAATATTACTTTGGAGGTATTATTATTTGGAGATGATATGTTTTCATTGGCTGAAAATAAGTTAATATTTCTAGCTTTACAGAATTATATACTTTAAACTGGCAGATTTTCTATAACTGAAAAATATAACATGTAAACTTGTACAATATATATCTTACCCCAACCACCTTACTCTAAGGAAGTTTAAACTCTTGTTATTTCCATTAATTATTGGTATATATATATATGCGTGTGTTGTGTGTATGAATGGTGTTATCACGTACTGAATATAATAGTTGTTGTTTAGTATACTTGGTGGTAGGTTTACATAAGTGTCTGTGACACTTGTTCCTATTTCCCTTTGTCTTCTCTATTCATTGTAATAACATGCTTGAACTGAAATAAAAGAAAGTTTAAACTAAGCAATGATCGTCCAGATTTTTATCGTTCACACACCGTGCACACATCGTGCGCACATCGCACATCGTGTACCGTTGTGCGATCCCACAACTGAGTGTATGTCATTATTTTGTTGGTATTTAAAAGCATTAATGCGCAATATTTCAAACAGCGGACATAACCAACTTTCCAATAGAATTGCACCGGGGACAGTGCAACTGTGTTGTTCTGTTGTGTTGTCTTATCTTTCTCAGCGATTGAAAAAGTGAACTTGGAAGGCTGGTTCTCTGTAAGAAAAAGGCCAATCTGAAAAAAATATGGGGTATCCGATATTTTTATTTATTTCAGAGAACTCAGCCGTGTTACGAAGATAAAATGTTTTCAAAATATCCTGTGTTGAGTCCTGAACCGACTGCCTAAATGGTCTTCAATATCCCGACCGAACTTGAAAAAGTAAACCATGTATCAGGTTATTTTACGTCAGTTAAATCCTTACGTTTTGGACTCATGAAGGAATGTGCTATGTTGTCAGAAGCTGGTAGATCTACTTTGCTGGCGAGCACGTGTGTGCTGCTCGCCCATAGCCCTTGAAGAAGTCTTTAGCATGTAAACAATGGAGACCTTAAACATGTTTTCCTGCTTATAATATCTCTATTAATGGCTAAGATAGAATCGCGAGGGTATTAATGATGAACGTAAGATACATTTATTTGATTACACCTATCGAAATTCGAAAAAGATAAAGTTTGCAAAAAAACAATATCTACACTGCATCATTCAGCTGTTCCGTGCTAGGACTCATCGGCGATATAATGAGCCAGACGGTTTTAAATTTGTTGATAATATAAATATTATGAATAAGCATAATGTGTATATTATGAACTTTGTTTCTTCTCAAAAATAATGAGTGTGTTTGTCAAAGTGGAAAGAGCCTCAGAGGAACCTTGTAAGTCGGTCATGTGACCCAATTCATTTTTCACGTCCGATGTTGGAGTCGAAACACAACCGTCTTCATGATATCGTTCTGTTTTTATAATACAGTTTTTTTCCGTGCAATATTGTCTTTCAATTAAAACGATTTAGCACAAGTAAAATAAACATGCAAATAATTCTTATCACCGTGGGAATCGGGTCATATTCCTACGCACTACAACTTCTACGTTTGCAAACAAAATGGCTGACCTAGTCACCGCGGATATGCTTTTTGCATTGATGGCGGAGGCAAAGGTATTTCGAAGCATTTCATCCGTAAAACACTATTCTCTCATCAACACAAATCAACAGGAGATGTCTCCTGGATACTTGACACACATTCAACAGCTGCATGTTCCAATTATGTTGAAATTGAAAAGGTGGTAAAGATGGCGTCAGTAGATAGTTCGCTCACTTAACGCTTTGTAAATACTTGGACAGTCTGTGTGTTTCATAGACGTTTTCTGGAGATGAAGATTGGTATACGTACACTCTAAAAAGTGTTTCCTGTTGAATTACTGAACTTATTGACATTTGATCATAGGTAAATGCATATGTGCAAGAACCGTGAATAGCTCACCAGGGCTGGCCGTTTCGGCGTCACGCTCTACCGAGTGTTGACCACGAAGGCTCCATACGGGTGGACTTGGAGTACGTATGTACGCTTTATTTATAGCGACTGCACTCTCCTGTTTCGCTTGCTATCATGGACTCTAGTCAGATGTCGTTCAACAGTGACTCTTTTGGATCAATGGATGCGACATTCACTGAGCTCTCGCCTGTCCCTAAAGCTTCAAGGAACGTCGAAATTGACTTTTCTGTGTTAAGTCTCCTTCCAAAGAATGTATATGTGGCTAAACTTTCCGATTCAAAGTTACAATGGTACCGTTCGGTATTATTCGACCAGGCCAGCAAGCTTGACAGTTGTACCATTGGGAGACTTGCTCCGAGGAAATCAACCTCGAAAAGTTCCGCGGAGAGTACATATGCACGCGACTATTTCCAACTTCAATAGCTTTTAGCTGGGGATACGTATGTTGATCTCAATGATATGCTTTCACAGAAAGGGAAGAATCTTTGCCAGCTTGAACAAAGTAATGTCGCTCACTCTTCCTCACTTGAGCTGGAGTCTGTATTGCTTGAAATTGCGAATACTATGAAAAGCATTCATGAAAGAAAAGACTCTGTGAGAATGATTAAAGAGGATAACTCCAAACTCAAAACATACATTGCTGATATTAAGCAAGAATTGCAACTCTCCTGTGAAATTATAGACAGACAGTTTGCAATTGAGATTTCACATTGCTCTCCACCGAAAAACTTTGCCGATCGTGTGCATTTGTTGTCTTCTAAAACGGCGTCTCTGGAGAAATTCAAGTCTAAAATCTCCTTACAGTCAACTGTAACAGACGACTGTAAGTTCTCGCCTACGCGAAAATGAGAAATTCCTAGTTAATATTTCTGCGGAAACTCGATATTAAACGGAATCCACTATCCGTTGCCTTGGCCAGGAAATGGATGAAGAGCTGTTTGATATGAAAT